TTTTTTGTCGTTCTTATAATCTTTCGATTAAAATCTATACGGAAAACTAAGCTGCCACGACGCATCGGCATATCATCTTTTTTTATTTTTTTTATTTAATATATTCATATAATAAATAATACTAGAAATTAGCTTACATATAAGCGACAGGTCAAAAATGATTATTTAAATACAGACTCGTAGTTTAACATGTTAATTAAACCATCCAATTAAAACAATCTTTCTGACTCGTTGACGAATTTATTGCAAGTTTGGATTTATATAGAACACGAGAGATTAAATAAATAAAGGATAATACAAAAAACGAATGATATTTAGATACAATGTAAATATGAAATAAATATAAATATGCATCTCGATCCGATAGGATATATATTTTATCTTTTTTTCGTCACTTTTGTTAGCAACGTTCAACGATATTCTTCCTTCTATATTTCTTTTTCTTTTTTTTTTACAACAATTTAATAGGATCGTTTAAAAAATTTTGTTCATTGGAAAATCGATGCCAAGGACCATATAAATTCATTGATCTTGTGCCACAAGTGATTTAGGTCGTTTATCATAATTACGATCGGTCGAACGTTGCATTAGACGTATCCTGCGCGCGTTCCCCTCTTAAATATTCTTAATACATGCACTCACGCATGCATATTTATTTATGTAATGCATCGACAATGAAATAAATAGTTATGCGAATGATATGTATGTTTTTCTGATTTGACGATACGATTTGAACAGAAAAAATATATTAATAAATAATCATAATAATAATAGTTATAAACTATTTCGTCACATTTTTTTTTGCGAATAATTAGTCAAATTAATATCTATTAAATACATACATACACGTATGTACGTATTTGACGTTTATAAATCGATTAAAATCGTATCGCGAAGTCTTATTTATATTATGACAAGAGAAATGATAATAAATTTATGCCGAAAATATTGTTAATCATAGCGCAAAATAAAAAGTGATATTACTGTAATAAAGGAACATCATCCGGCGTTTAGGGTGTTATTCGCGATAGGAAATAAAAAGATAGAAAGAAAAGGAAAAAAAAGTAAGATTAGGCTTCTTCGTCAGGCCACACAAAATCTTCCTCGATTTTGGCAGTACCTCCGCTGGATATTGGTCGTGATTCTGAACATTCTGTTTCCGAAAGAACGAATGGATCCACGATTACTTCTTCCACTTCCTGACAATCTTCTTCATTTTCTTCTTCAATCTGAAACAAAATAATACAACCTTGTGTAATGATTGTTTAAATTTTACCATATTTTCTACATCATAAAGCATAAATATTTTGGTTCAATTTCTTGCGAGCATCATCAATCACGGATTAATTTGTCTACAAAATTGATCAGATTTAAATACTCGAGTAATAAGTAATGTTTGTTTATTTACCCTGGTGTCTTCATCTGATTGCACTTCGTATGGTTTCTCCTCCAATTCCTGATCAGTTATTGGGGTGAAAAGATGATCTTCGCGGAAAGAATCGATATCCTTTTTATCATTGTTAATACCACGTGCCACTTCAGCCAATCTTTCTTCTCTTTCTTGCCTTTGACGAATTTCTTCTGCACGTTCCTCGATCAGCATCCTTTCTTCTTCCTCCATCAAAGCTCGAAGTTTTTCCGCATTGATTTGTCTGAACAACAAAACCAACGTTCAAATCGATACATTTCTACTTGTGTGTGTGTTTTTTAATCATTATTTGTTTCTTACCTTTCAGCTTCTTCCAAACGAAGTAACTCGGTACGTTCTTTTTCCAATTTTTCTTCTTCTATTTTTCTTTCGGCTTCTGCCCTCTCAACCTCGAGGATTTCATTGATGTGAGCTTTTCGATCCAAATCAATTTCCACAGCTTCCCATGCCTTTTTTTCCTCCAATTCTAATCTCGTCCTTTCATCTTCCGCAGCTTTTCTTTTCTCTTCCTCGGTTCTATGTTTCAAATAATTAATAATAAATAAATATATATTCGAATTTTATCTGTTTTCTTCAGAGATTATTTTTTCAATTGATACGTGGTAAATTATTTACCTAGCTTCTTCAGCAACTTTACGCAAATATTCTTCTGCTCTTCTTGCCGCATCTTGTTTTCCTTGTTTCACTGTAACAATTTCGCATTGTCTTTTGAATTTGTTTTACTTTTGATAGATCTAAAAATCTTATTATATTATAAGATTGATTTTGATTTTATTTATCTTATAAATAATAAGATTTGTATATAATAGATAATGTTTATTAAATTTTTACACACATAGGTACAAACATATTTCAAAGTAGGAAAGTTAAATATACACATTTGACGTGACATTTGAAACATACCGAAGGATATGATCTCATTTTTGGTAGACTCGACACAAAATACATTGAATCGTGCAAAAGATTATTTTAGAACGAAATATTTGCTCCAATTTTACCTAATATTTTTCGATATCAAAAGATATATTTATTAATAAACATTTCGAAATATATTTATAAACACTTACCTTCTTCAGTCTCATCTTCTGGTTGATCCTTTTCACTTACAAGTTCAGAACTCGCAGGAGTAGCTTCAACTACTACAGGTTCCTCAACGGGCTTTGCTTCTACTTCTAGCACAGTTTCTGGTTTCAATTCTTCTATAAACTCTGGTACATCTACAGCAGTTTTGATTACTTCTGGTTCCACTGTTGATTCTACCGTTGGTTCTACCGTTGGTTCTACCGTTGGTTCTACCGTTGGTTCTACTATTGGTTCAACTGTTGGTTCCACTTTTGATTCCTCTATTGCTTGCACTTCAAGTTTGGTTTCAGGAACATTTTCTGGTTCCTTTACCTGTGCAACTTCAGGCTCAGCTGGTACATTCTTTGAAGGCTCCTCTTTTGCAGATTCTTGTTTAGGAGGTTCCTCTACAACTTCTACTGGTTTAGGAGCAGGTTCTGCAGATTCCACAGGAACTGCTTCTACCTTAACTTCTTTCTCCTTTACAGATTCTGCTACCAATTCTTGTTCTTTTGGAGGTTCCTTCACAGGTGCTTCCTTTGTTTTAGATGTTTCTGCACTTTTCTCTGCTTCTTTTAATTTTTTTACCTTTGATTCCTTAACTGCTTTAGCTTTTGGCTTAACTTCTTCTTTTACAGGTTCTTCTACTACTACCTTCTTTTCTTCTGCTACTGATTTGATTTCTTCTGGTTCAGGTTTCTTCTCTTCTACTACAGGTTTAATTTCTTCTGGTTCAGGTTTCTTCTCTTCTTCTACAGCTTTCTTCTCTTCTGCTATAGGTTTAATTTCTTCTGATACAGCTTTCTTCTCTTCTGCTACAGGTTTGATTTCTTCTGGTTTAGATTTCTTCTTTTCTTCTGCTGCAGTTATCTTCTTTTCCGGTGTTGGTTTAACTTCTACGTATATTAACGCGTAGGGAAACACGTAGGTATATAGATTTATTAAAAGGGGTATCATCAGGAATAAAGATATCATAAATAGAAAGAGATAGATAAATAGATAGATAGATAGATAGATAGATAGATAGATAGATAGATAGATAGATAGATAGATAGAGAGAGAGAGAGAGAGAGAGAGAGAGAGAGAGTGTGTGTTCTCTATTTCTTTTATTTTATTAGCGTTTCTATTAAAAACACTAATAAAATAAATAAATAAATCGCTTTTGAATAAGGATTTGAGCTTACCTCTTTTCACGATCGATTCGGTCCCTTCGGTTTCTAGGGCACGGGCTAGAATTTTGTGTAGAATGTCAGACACAGATACGTAGTTATACAATTAGTGTAATAATTTTATTGGAATGGAAGAAGCATTATATTCGAGATTTTCTTGGACAATAAGTTGGCACCGATGAACGAACGAACGTACGAATTAACGAACGAACGAACGAACGCGATTATTATCTCATATACGAATGTATATCCAGTTACTAACCCTTTCTGAGTTCTCTCTCAGTCATCGGTTGATCCGGTGCTGCTTGCGTACATGAAACATAAATGATCGTTTAACGGGAGAAAGATCGAATGATAAATTGATGACTCATTTTCATAGCGAAAAAAGCGTGCCTTCTGCGAATCAAAAGCTGAGAAGAAAACAGCTTCAAGGGTAACGTCCAAGTTTAACAAAGCTTGAAAATTTGTTCGATCTATTATAATTAAATGCATGGAAGGGGTGGTGAACATAATTAAAAACATTTGAGTTTACTCTAATTATGTAAATACACGAATAAGTGCCGATTATTATGGCAATTAACTAATAGTGAGTTAAAAAAATTGCAAAAAAATCTATTCTACGATTTATTTTATAATATTAATAATTTAGATATAAAATAAATCATTGAAAATAAATTTTGGATATTTTTTGGACTCAGATTAGTTTATTGACATAATTGTCGAATACGTGTAAGATATTTTAAGCGTGTAGCAATAACACATACACACACACAAAGTTTCATGGCTCCTACAATATGTGTACACGATGGTGTGTGACAAATGAATGTTGGATTTCTAATGAACTTGATCAAAGTCGGAATCTTACGATATTACCGAAATGATTTTTATTCGATTGCGTATTAGCTTTTTGTTCGCATCACAAACTCGATCGTTATATTTCATCGTTGATCAGTCTTGATCGAATAGATTTTATCTTCTATTTCTTTTTTTGTCGTCATAATTATTACAATCAAGAATTAATAATTATCGTAAAAAATTCACGTGACACTCAAATGTATGCGAAATAAGATCATTAAAATAATATTCAAACAATATAATGTATAGGCATAAGCATGTATAATATACATAATTACGTATTTATGTACTTATTATTAAAATTAAAGCTTATGCGTAATAGGCATAATCAGATGAATCAATCGAATGCATATTTTAACCTTTGCTTTTTTTCGTGTCAATCAAGATAATCTAAAAAAAAATCACGGACGTGAGAGCAGCTCTATAATCAATCGTCTTTTTTCTTTTGTAAAATATATATTTCTTACTTTTTATTTATACGTGCAGTATAAATCGTAAAAGTAGATGAAGGTAATACAAATTTGTCGATTGTTTTATGACGACCTGCTTTCTTTTCCGCGTTTTCAAATTTATGAACAATAAAAAAAAACTCAGTAAAATACATACACGCATTTTCAGACCCATCGTATATGTTAGAATTTGTAACAGCTGATAAATTATCTTCCAGTTTGCGGAGAGATCAATGGATCACTCAATAACACTCTCCATGACTAATTAGCTTTCCTTGAGCTTATACGATTCTAATATATGTAATATTAATCGATATTAAATCGAATAATTGCAAAGCATGTGTAAGGAGAACTCTTACCTCAAACAATTTATTTTTTTTTGATCGATTCGTTCATTAGATGTACAACTCTTAAATTATTTAATCATAAATTAAACTTGAAAAAAGGATTGACAGTATATTTTTTTATTATCACGCTTTCCTCTCTGAAGATAGAAACTATTAAATATTTTTATTTATTTTTCGTAAGATATACATTAGAAGAAAAAACAAAATAAATAAAAATAAAACTTATGTTCGATCTGTGTATAATTTTTATTACAACTATTATCACGAGTATTATTAATTATATATTAGAATATCTGGATTATTATATTTCTTTTGATATTTGCCCTTTCTCTTTCTTATAGATTAAATAATAATTAAATATATTATGTTCGAATAATAAATAAATGAAAACGATCACGAACCTAGAATTATAAAGTAACTCGAGGAACTACGTAAATGAACAATAATATGCATGTATGTAATTCAATATTTTTTATCAAATATTTATCTAACTATTGTTATCATAATTTTCTAATCGTGACGTGTCTATTGGCGCATACAAATTACCCTAATGTGATTTAGAAAGATTAAGTTCTTAATCTTTCTTCCTAATATTTTTATTTAATCAATGTTTACGTTTTATTTCCTATACTCTTTATGTCAATTAAATTAATACGAAAAAATTATATTTCATAAAAATAATAAAACTTTTTTTGCAGGGGGAAAAAAATATATATGTATATTCTAAGGTTCGCTAAACAAAAAAAAAATACGACATTAAAATAAAAACACATGGTTAAAAAATACACGAAAAACAACAAGATGTCACAAATCGGAATTGTTGCATGCACCAATAGAACAAATATTTTTTCGTCGACGTCCATACATATACATACGTATACATGATATATCATAAAAGAAAGAAATAGGACGGTTTAAAAATAATGAATTAAAAATATTAAAAGGATCGATCATTCTTCGTTTAAGTTTTCCTCTTCCGCCTCATCCACCTCGGGGCCCTTCTTTTTGGTTTTAGTTGGATCCTCGTAAAGTTCTGGAACACGATCCCTCCAGCCTTTGCCTGAAACGTTCAAAAAATGTCGCTCTGCTGGATCTCCTCCTGCTAATGCAGATTTTCGATAAGATCACTGAGAATCGCCCCAAAAAATAGTCTGTCTGAGTTGCGTGTTCCAGTTGGATCTAGATTTGTTTTTGAACATAGGTTTTGTTTTTTTTGTGTGCTCGGCCTCTGTGTGTATCTGTCTCTCTCTCTCTCTCCCTCTCTCTCTCTCTCTCTCTCTCATCTCTCATCTCTCTCATCCCTCTTTATCTCTGTTATACTGCGTTGTCATTACTGCAGCCGTCATTATTGGCGTCCCCTTCGTCGGAAAAAATTCTCCTCTCGATCTCGTTCTCGCTCTCGATCTCGATCTCGCCCTCGTTCACTTTAACGGTTCCACCGATCGCTCGTTTCCTTTTTAACGGTAAACCTTTAAACCCCGTATCGTACGCGTCATACACAAATATACATAAATAATGACTTATTCGAAAAATAATTCGCGTAGTTCGTTCGCGTTTCCTAATATTAATAATAATAATAAAAATAATAATGTTCGCTTTTTCTATTTTTATTCTTTTTTATTATTTCTTTTTTCTGCTTCATATGATTTCTATTCATTGGATTAGCATTTTCAATTATTTTCGATCGATTTTATATTTTAGAAATATTTTTTTATGTCATTACTTTAAATCGTCGGTATTACAATAGATTGTACACACACAAAAATATCAAAATATAACCCTAACACTACTTAAATTATACTGATCATTTAGTTCAGAAACAAATCTGATCAAAAATATTTGAAAAATACCAGACAAACAAATAGAAATAATTAAAAAAAAAAACGAATTAAAAGTATCTTAAAAAGAAAAAAAATTAGTTAATAAACTCGTATAACATGTATACTACATATATATATTGCTACTACTACTATTACTACTACTACTACAAGAACAACATAAAATATACATATATAATTGTATGATTACAATGTCTCACACCGTCGTTCGCCATCTTACGATTATTAGACACAAAACGAAAAGAAATAAGAATTGGAAAAGAGACAGATAGAATAATAGGTACATATGTATATATGTATAAAATATAAATGTAAACGAGCGAGGAAAAATAACGAGGGGGGAAAAACATGAAAGAAAAAAAACATAATAAAAATCAAATTAACACACGTACGTCATTATTATCATCATCATCATCATCATCATCATAATCATCATCATATCATCGCCAGCCACAGCATAAACGACAATTTTTGTTTTAACATTCGGTGCCAATCTCAGTCCAAACAAAACAAAACAAAAAATAGTATGTATAATAATATTTATTTATATAAAAAGAAATGAAAAAATGGAGATACGAGCTTTGGGGGAGACAAGATGTAAAAAAACGAAAAAAGGTTCACACAGACAGCGTCCTGCGGCCGTCTTTTGTTTTTTTTTCTTTTTTAATTTTTCTTTTTTTTTTAATATTTTTTCATCTACTCAAAAATCATCTAGCCGAGACTCATTACCGATCTCTAACGAGTTACGAGAACAAAAGTTAAGTAATGAGGTTATATTTTTTATTTTTATTTTTTCTTATTTTTTTTATTTGTATTATTAAATAAGTTTTTATTTTTTAATTGACAGATTGCTTTATCATTCGTCACTCGTTAGAGCCAGTACGCAGATACTACAAGGATCGTCGATGCGATTGTCCTGTTGTTGAGTACAATTTTTTTTAAATTTAGATAAAAGAAATATTTATATACAGGATGATCTGTAACTGGTGGTACAAGCGAATAGAGGATAACTCTACATGAAAAAATAAATCGAAAATATGGAATAAAAATTTTTCGTTTGAGGCTTTGTTTTCGAGAAAATCGACTTTGAATTTTCGCAAAGTACGAGTGCACTTAATCATATCTCGTTATACCGGACCTACGAAATTTTCATATAAGAATAACCTATATACATATATAATTTAATTCTGTAAAGTTCATAGGGTATTTCTGAAAAGTTTGCAGGTCTGTTATAACGAGACATGATCAAGTGCACGCGTACTTTGCGAAAATTTAAAGTCGATTTTCTCGAAAACAAAGCCTCAAACGAAAAATATTTATTCTATATTTTCGATTTATTTTTTCATGTAGAATCACCCCCTTATCGCTTGTACCACCAGTTACAGATCACCCTGTATATCGTATACCATTTACATTTATTATTTCTATATCTATTGTTATAGTATATAAAAAAGAAAATCGTACTTATAGTGTCTACAATGTTTTAAATTATCAAATAAATACAAAAATATTGTTCTCATCTATGATAGGCAATCAAATAACTCAAATTACACGTCCTGCATAAGTAACGACAAATAAAAGGATAGATCAATCAACAGGACAAACACGTTCGAACTTTTTCTTTACTAAAATCTAATTGCTGCATTTACATAGATCAATGACCGATGATTACTCACAAGCTTTGGCAGCAGCCTGCCGATTTTTTTGGTAGTAGCTCAAAAAATTAACGTCGTTCTTGATATCGGATGGACGAAGATCAGCAACTTTGTAGTAGGGCCTCCTGATTGATTGGGGTTTGCCAGCGACGTATTTGACACACGCCAAATTTCCAAACTGTCCTCTTTCCGGTACATCATACCATGATACCGGTTCAGCATCCTTCTTCGTGTTGTTCTTACCGGATATTAATCGACGAACGTAATCACCACTGCGCATACGTTCCGGCACTATTTCCTCGACAAAATCGCTAAAATTTCACAGTCCTTTTACTTTAAATGTCTTTCGTCATGATTTTTTTTTTAATTTTGTTATTTTCTTTATTATGATAAATATTCGTATTCATTCGTTATGGATAGATTTGAACAAATACCTTGGAGTTGCACGAGGTATGTAAACGTGAACTCGTCGTAAAAGAGAATCCACTCTTGCACGTATTTCTTTGGCCTCGTCATCGAAGTACTGTGAATAGATGAACATAATAACGTAAGATTAATACGGATGTATAAAATAAATATCTGAGAGAGAGAGTATAGATTAATTGTTTGTCAATTTTCTAACAAATTACCAACGTTAATTTATTCATTTCTACAAATGATTAATTCTATCGATTTGTTTAAAAATATGTTTGATATTTTCATTTCTCTAATTCATTTATTTATGAGCATATAAATTAAATATTATTTTCTGCAAGGATAAAAGAAAATAAACACGTATTCCAGTTTATAGTTCTTACATGAAGAACTATTACGTTCTAATAATAAATTTCATTTATGTTAATCATCACTTTGATGATAAATAATAAATTTTATTTATAACATTTGATCGTGATCCCTAACGACGCGATTCCGCAGTTTGGATGAATGATGAAGAGAGTGATGATGGTATTTATTCCAATAGAAGACGATGACGATGACGACGACGATGATCGATGATCGATGATCGATGATGTATGGAAGATGAGAGAAAGAAAGAATAAGAGAAAGATAGGGAGAAAAAGAAAGAAAGAGAGAGAGACACGATTATTTGATATTTTCCTATCTTTCTCCCTCTCTCTCTCTCTCTCTCTCATGTTTGTTCACTTACGATGTGGTCCTTGGAATTTAAATAATGATCGGTGTAAGACCAGGTAGTGGGCCTTGGTAGATCACGTATCCTCTTGAGTTCAGCAGCAATCACGCTGGGTCGTACACGAGAATGTATTCTTATTGGTATCATCGAGCCAGCATAGTAAACATTATGGACCGGTGAATGGACTATGGTGACGAGCCTCTTGTGTGCAATGTAGGGCATTCGAGGAAGATAACCCCTCAACTAAATGTACACCAATTTGTCTCCTTTATTGTTCGATTTTATCGATTGATTTCACAACTTCTTAGTTTACTTGGTTTCTTTTTTTTGCTAATATTATTATTTTCTCTTCACAAAAATCTTGTTCTCGCCATTTATTTAATTTCATTCGTTTAAGTACAAGAGATGTTATGCATCTACTATGTATTTTTGGCAAATATTATGCATAAAGCGCTTATACACATATATATATATATA